TTGCGGAAGCAATTGTGGACCCAAATGATTTCAAAAAATATTTTAATCTTTACTTGATTCAGAAAATTGATTAAGTACATGCAAAGCATCTATAAAAGCATACTGGAGGGAAAGCATGTTTACTTCCATTTGATTACTGTAAGTTATTTACTTATTTTTACATGCTTATGCTTTAATTATTCTGATGAACAATTCACAAGCATTCACATCTATTTCTAATAATGATAATAATATTATATTATTTTTAGATGAAAAAGATATTTTATTTTTATTTAAATTAGCTGAAATGTCTGAAAATATATTTCCTGTTGGCAAAGAAAAAATTGAAGAAATATATAGAGATATAGATTATAATTGTAAAAATAATATAGGATTTGATTCTGTAGGAACTAGTAAAGAGATAAGAAAGATAGAGGATATTATAACTAAATATAGAGATATACAAGAAGAAATTTCAGAATGATTAGTTCGAGGATATATAACCAAAAAAGGTCAGCCTAAGATCTTTGAAGAACTACTAAAATATAAAGAATATTTAAAGGTGTTTGAAATATTGAAGAATATAGATATATGTCCTGATTAATAAATCTTTAAAGATATAAGATATATCTTGCAAATAATTATAGTAAAGGTAAAATAATATTTCTAATAGAAAAGGTCATTGTGGAAAATTGGGTCAATTATCCAGCCATTTTAAAAATTGCCCCCAATTTTGAGCCGTTTATCCATTATCAATAAATTAAGGTTGAACCGTTGAAGTGGCGGCTCGAAACAGAGAATGTGCTGAAGTGGGGGGTATATTGACACGTGTACAAATAAATGAATAAAAAAATATATAAAATGAGTTGTCTACCCTTATTGGAAGAGGAAATTACATAAAAATACGTATTAAAATGTTAATTCAAAATTTAGGTGTGAAATCTTTTTAACAAAAAAATCAGATATTAATTGAATTTACCCACCTACTCCACTACAAAACATAAGGTAGCGGTTGATTTCCATTTTCATTTTCAAAACAATTTTTAGTTTTCCCCGACAACGGCTCGTTTTTCGCGTTTTGAGCTTTTTGATAATTTATAACTGAAAACGCTCAAAATGATAAAATGTCATTTTGCGTTTTCAATTATAAATTTTAACTCGTTTTCGAAAATGCGTTTTCGAAAGCGACAGACGCGTTTTCAAAAACGAAAAACGTAAAATGACTCGAAAACAGCAAACCAACCGCACCTTAAATTTTTCCCTATCCCCATCTCACTCTTCTCTCTCTAAACAAGCATAATCAAATTGGGTACACTATGCACGCGAAATCGATGACGACGACAACGATACCCGTCTTTTCTTCTCCCTAATCTCTCCTCTTCAACAATTGCGGCACCGTCTCGGGAAGAGAATCTCTGGCACAGCGGTGTTGTGACACCACAACAACACGAAGATCGATGACGGCTGCTACAACATAATCATCCGGGTTCGAAGATCATAGTGTTGTAGTGGTGATTTGAGTAGTGGTTTTGCGGTGTTTGTGGTGTGGTTGTGGTTTGATTGTGGAGGTGGCTGCGTCAACAATGGTGGTGGTGTAGTGGTTAGTGGTTGATTTCCGTAGGTGTATGTTTTTATGAGTTTTTGTGGTTTCTGTAGGTGTCGTGCCAGTGGTAATTGCAGCATGACACCATAGTGACACGAAGATCGCCAGCGACTACTGCACATAATCATGCCGTGTTCGAAGAACGCAGTGTTGTAGTGGCAATTTGAGTGGTGGTTATGCGTGTTGGTGGTGAGGCTGTGAATTGACTGTGGAGGTGGCCGCAATGATGGTGGTCGTGTAGTGGTTGGTTTCTGTGAGTGTCTATCTTAGTGAATTTTGAGTGGATCCAGCGGTTGGGTTGGGTTTGGATGGTGTTTTGTGTGGTGGTAGTGATGGTGTTTGTGTGGTGATGGATCTGAGGGTTGGGTGGGTTTTATTGAATTTGACGATGGTTTGGGGGTGTTATTGGGGGGTTTTTGGTGGTTTTTGTTGATTGTATAGGTAGAGGTATTAGCGGCGATGGTAGATTTGGCAACTATTTTGTTGGTGGGTGCAATTAGAGGTGTTGACAGTGGTGGTGGCGGTGTTGAAGAGGGCGATCACAAATGGTGGTAATGTTGGTGGCGGTGAACCAATTATATGGTTATATGTGACCAAGTATTAATCTATGACATTAAAATTTGATAACTTTTCAACAAATTTGAAAACCTGTAATCGATAATAAATCGTGACCTGCAATTTTTTTGATTTGTGGCCAATAAAATAAACTGTAATGACGTCGAAATAATCTGTGATTTACAAAAATTTTTATTTGTGCCCTAAAAATAATCTGTGACAAATTAATTTGCCAATTTTTAACTAGTGAAAATGTTTTGACCTATAATTATGTCTATGTGAAGATTAATTGTATATTTGTGACCTTATTAAATTTAATTAATAAATATTTTTAATTAATTAGCTAATGCTTGAGTTTTGCATTTTGAAATTTGGCACCTGAAAATTGAATTTGTCATACTTATTCCTCGACTTTTGAAATTTTCCCATTCGAAATGCCCCTTAGGCCTTAACGCACAATATTGATTCCAAATGAGACTATAAGCTCGTAACAAGGTAATGTGTCAACACGTTTAAGGACATACTTTTGAGCTTTTATTATTAATAAAATAAAAAGTAGAAATGTGACTCTACATAAATATTCAAATTGACATGCATTGACATTACAAGTTTTGACGCTTAAAAAGAGGTAAAAGCTTCTTTAATTCTTGAATGATTTGGTTTTCCTACTAGGTACGGAGTTAAGATTTGAATAGCTACGAAAGATAAAGTCGGTCAACTATATGTACCAAATGATGCACCTCTTGGTGAGGCAAAAATAGCCAATTTGTGGTAGCATTTGAGAACATTTCCATGTAAAAATGAATGACTTACGCAAAAATGAATAAACTATCGTCTAATTGAAAGGAGAAATGTTTTTAAACCTCTTAAAGCGATAAAATTTATGAAATATAATGAAGACCATTTAAAATCTCGTGATTTTCATTAAAATTTTTGAAAAAATTGAACAAGCTCCGCATACAAGTAGCTAAGACGAAATGAATACTAGACTTCCATATTTATGTAATGGAAGGGACCAAGTGAATATCAAAACCAAGAGAAACTCTTTAGAACTTCCATGAGCAACTTTTTTTTTTCTTCTTCTTCTTCTTTATATAATTATCCTTCTGTTTATTTGAGCTCGAGAGGGAATTTGTCTTTTTATCAAATTTCACAATTTTTTGTATGAAAACCGTAAGTAGGCTAGGAAGGACAAAATTAACATAAAAATGAAAGACTATGTTGGTTATGGTTCATTAGCATCATTTCAATTAATTTTTTTTTAGGTTCAATCGAATCAGATATCATAGATGGCTAATACACGTTACAAAATTCTTCAGAGCATGTAAAGGTTGTGGAATTACGTTGTCTTCTACTTCAATATTCAATCTTTGATTGTTATTATGATTGTGATTGTGATTCATCATTCTTCATTAAATCATGAATCTTCAAGCTTGTATCTTGATGGATTTCTTCACGCCTCAATCATTCGAACCTTGTGGGCTTTCCTAATTCAAAAATAGAGTTCAATGGTTTAACATTAATTAACATTAGTGACTGAATAAGACAAAAAATACTTGAAGGACCAATATTAATTAATTTTCATGACTAAATGATTGGGAGAAAAAAAAAACACTTTGAAGATCAACTCAAATTTTCGCAAAAAACAAACTCTATACATTTTCAATTTTTAAGAGATAATTGCAGTAGAGGCCCCAAACTTTTAAAATATTAGCAAAATTTTCTCAAACATTTAATTTATTACAATCGTCACCCCAAATCTTTCGAAACATAGCGGCGGAGGCCCTTTTGGACTGTTTTCATTCAAATGTCTGTTAGTTGACTAAGAAATTTGACTTTAACCATATTTTTAATATTTTTGAAACACTAAAATAGTAACTTTCTAGTTACTACATTAAGATAAGTTAAAAATTAAATAAGAGTTTAATATTTTTGAAACACTAAAATAGTAACTTTCTAGTTACTACATTAAGATAAGTTAAAAATTAAATAAGAGAAAGCAAATTTTTTAGTCAACTAATAGACATTTGGATGAAAACTGTTCAAAAGGCCTCCGTCGCAACATTTTGAAAGGTTTGGGATGACGATTGCAACATATTAAAGGTTTGGAAAAAGTTGGCTAATATTTTAAAGGTTTAGAGCCTCAGCTATAATTATCCCATTTTTTAACGTAATTTTTTTAACAATAATTGATTGTGTTATTAGTGCACATACTTTTCGAAAGAATAATACTATCTAGCAACATTAGTATTCTAATTTAAGTGTCATAATGTAATAAGTTTAATTAAAAGTAAAATTATTTGATTTGTGTCTATCATTTAATATCAATTTTTTTAAGTGTCACTTAAATTGGTATTGTAAAACCAGTAGTACTAGATTAATATTATTCTTTTCGAATAGCATAAAAATGGAGTCTTTCATTTGCTAATTGAAGCACATTATATCCACCAAAGTTAAGTATATTATTATATCATCTCCTGATGGTTTGTCGCGCAAAATCTTTGGTAAATTATGTATTGAGTGTCCACGAGGAAAGAAATCTTATTCTAATATGGAATCAAGTTACCTTTAATGGCAGGAGCAAACTAATTAAAAGTTTAAACTATAGCTTATAAGTTTGATGGTTATAAATGCATCATGTAAATTATTTATTTTGATAATGGTTTCTACCTACATATTTAGCTTATTTATACGTTCTTTGCTTGTAAGTCAAACATGATGTACCAATACAGGTCACTTCCCAACGTGTTAGTCATTGTATCCTTAACTGTCGAAACCAATTATATGTAATGTAACTTAGAAAATACTACTCATAATTGAGAAACCCCTCATTGTTTTGGCTATAAAATACCAACCACCCTTAACCACCATTCCTCCTCCAGCCCCGGGGGCCTCTCTCTCTCTCTCTCGATTGTGTGCACAATCTTTCATGGCGTCCTCCAACTCCCTCTTTCTTATATGTCTCGTGTTTTTTTACTTTATTCATCTGAGTTGTACGGAAACAGAAACAAGAAACACGACGAGTGAAAGCTGCTCGATTTCTCTCTCCTATGTCCCTCTCTCTCTCAACAGTTCTTCTGCTTCTTCCCAAGGAGACCCCCATCCTTCTTCTCTTGTGTCATCACCAAAAGGACATGGCCATCGAAGATCAAAGGGTGCTGCCCCATCATCACCGTCAATCCACTACAAATCATCATTCAGGTATTCAGTGGCTCTGATTGTTTCTATCCCAATAGGGACCCCTCCACAGACTGTACCGATGGTGTTGGACACAGGCAGCCAACTTTCATGGATACAATGCCAAAAGAAGTCACCGAGAAAGTCTCCAACGACGTCGTTTGATCCTTCTCTCTCTTCTACTTTCTCTAACCTCCCATGCAATAGCCGGGTTTGCATGCCACGAAATCCGGATTTTACCCTCCCAACTTCTTGTGAGAACAATTTATGCCACTATTCTTACTTCTACGCAGATGGGACTTTGGCTGACGGCAATCTCGTCATAGATAAATTAAGATTGTCACCTTCCCAAACTACCCGTCCTCTGGTTCTTGGTTGCACGAACAGCTCCGGCGAGGCTCAGGGTATTCTGGGAATGAATCTTGGGCGGCTGTCATTTCCCTCCCAAGCTAAAATAAAAAAATTCTCCTACTGCGTGCCACTTCGGCAAGGTACTCCGCGGGTTACGCCTATCGGAACATTTTACCTCGGAAAGAATCCGAATTCACACACATTTAAGTATGTCAATCTTCTATCTTTTCCTCAAATTCAAAGCATGCCGAATTTTGATCCTCTGGCCTACACTCTTCCCATGACGGGGATAATGATCGCCGGAAAGAAACTAAGAATACCGGTATCGGTATTCAGGCCGGATGCTGGCGGATCCGGCCAGACGATGATTGACTCCGGCACCCAATACACATTTCTAGTGGATGAGGCATACTCTAAGGTAAAAGCTGTTTAATGTTAATTTATTTATATTTATTTTTTACATTTTTTTCTAATATATATGATGTGGAATTTTACCATGGCATATTTTCAAGATATTAGCTCATTTAGAAACATCAATATTGAAAATCGACCATTCATTTGAAATTTGTGGGCCTTGGTATTATATTAAGCTTTTGTTTATTTAATTAAAACGATTGATAAAAATTGGATCGAGTCGGGGAAATATAATGGTTGACATAGGGGATCATCGAATACAACATTTCAGGGGTTGAGCATTATTTAATTCACATGAGACTCACACACTTTGTGAGAATTGGTCATCTCGAGTGTCAAACATTTTCAAACAAAATGACATTTTCAATAAAAATTTAATCAAAATCAACAATTGATTTTAACTAAACATTTCATGAAATTCACAATTTTTATCAATTTTTCAATTATATATTTATCAATTTTTTATCAATCGAATTTTTAACAAACCCAAACATGGACTAATTCTTATGGTTCCATTTAAAAGTTCAACTCTTTTAGGAAAATTACCTCAAGTCAAGCCTTTATTAGTTAAATATTCTTTTTGAATTTAAATAATATATAAAGGTTGAACTCCAACCTTAAGAGTCTCCACCGTCCCACCCCTAGACTTTTGTGAGGGACCCCAGCAGACAAAAATAATTTTAAAAAAATTTAAATAATATATGATCTTACGTTGACAGGTCAAAGAGAAAGTTGTGAGTGTGGCGGGCCGAAGGCTAAAGCCAGGGTATGTGCATGGAGGATCGTTGGATATGTGCTTTGATGGAAATTCTATTGATATTGGACGGTTGATAGGTGACATGGTTTTTCAATTTGAAAATGGTGTTGATATTCTGATCAATAAGGAAAGGGTTTTGGATGACGTTGGAGGTGGGGTCCATTGCGTAGGGATCGGACGATCATCGTTGCTCGGTACTTCAAGTAACATTATTGGCAATTTTCATCAACAAAGTCGATGGGTAGAATTTGATCTTGTTGGTCGAAAAGTGGGATTCGGTGCAGCAAATTGTAGCAAACCTCCATAACACAAGCGACAAATACTTTTAAATGTACTACATATACTAAGTATACACGTGCATACATTGGTACTATATACGTACAAATTTTGCCACCAGTAATGATATACACAAAACTTCTCTATTATACTATTTATTTCTTTATCTATAATCATGCATTCGATATGTTATATAGCCACCATTTGGTTTAAATTAAAATTAGACTTTTGTAAGACTTTGATAAAAATTAATGAAATAAATGGCTGAAAAGTTGTGAGTCTCATAAAATATATAGTTGAAAATAAATTTTAGAAAAATTGTAATTATATTTTGTACGTTTGAAAACCTATGAAGCATATTCCGTGTCCATAAGATATTAATTACGGGGCAACAATTAAAATATATAGTTTGAACTGGATATTATATTTATAACTAAGCCTCCTTTTGGATAAAAAAAATATAAATGGTTTTTAAATTCAATTAAAATCAAACATTAATTCAAATTACACATTTATAAGTAATATTCATTAATATCCACATATTTCGTATGATCTACTATTATTCCTCTACATATTCATCTTCATAAATCATTTATAAATTTGTCAAACGAAGGCTAAATATTAATTCTATTTATAATAAGTTGGATTTTATTATTATTATTATTATTATTATTATTTTGAATATGTGCTTAATCGGCCATGTTTGGTAGGGATTTTGAGAATTGAATTTTTGACTGTTAGAAAAAAAGTGAGGGCTACCTTTAAAAGAATAAGTAAAAAATTATGGTTGGAATAGTTAAATAACGATAAAAAAAATCAATTTTTTGGGGTAAAAATTGCTTCCGAACAAGCTCTTAGGGTCTGTTCGATAGTAATTAAGAGAATTAATTTTTTGACTGCTATGGAAAAAAAGTGGGTCCCACCTGCGAGTGAAGAAATAAAAAATGACAACCGAAATATTGAAATAACAATCAAAACATTGATTTTTGGGGGTGAAAAATTTTTACCAAACGGGGCTTATTTTATTTTATCCTTTGAGGTCCAAATTTTTGAATTAAAAAAAGGGGTTAGTTATTCCAATTTCAATTTTGTCTCTATCAAATTTTACTATCAAGGTGACAGTTATAATAGGTTCGAGTTGTTTTGCTGGCAGTTGCAGTGTGGAAATTCGATTCATGAGATGTGGAATTGGACTCCTTGTAGGCGCAGTGTACTAACAGCTCTTGTTTCTCGACCTGTTGGGATACATCCCACGATTTACCTCCTTCACAAAGTTCTAGAAATAGAACGGTGGGGACTTTCAAGATTGGGGTTCAACTTTTATAATATGTTCAAGTTCATTTCACCAATCAACATCATATTTGTCTTTATCAATGCTATCAAACGACTCCAACCGGATATTCGGTTCCACGGACACAAAGTTTGATATTTTCATACATTCCTATACCCTCAAAATAAATAAATTCGTTCTTAATTACACGTCACACTATAGTTGATTTAACGTAAATAGTGAAGTGTCCCTTGACAAAATACCAAGGATCACAATGATTATTATTTAAGTGTAAAGTTAAAACACAGAGTATAAAAATTAAAGACTTCTACTGTGATGTGCATATTAGTTTGGTACAAAGTAGTGCAAAGTGTACAAGTCGTTTTTATCCTTCATTTTCATTTTCCAAATAAATTGATTACGGATATTTGTGTCAATTGTACTATATATTTTTTAATACAATAAATTATTATTATTATTATTATTATTATTATTATTATTATTTACATTTAAAATAATTTTTAAATGTAAAACATAATAATTAATAAATTAATTAAAAGACGAAAAACAATTTGAAATACAACAAACACGATTATTTATTAAAATTAATACGAAATATATTAAACAACGACATACATACGATAATCTAATTTGATTTCATATTTTCGTTGTTGTAGTATTTTTATTAATTGTTCCGTATTTTTTATATTTATTAATGAATTTAATTTTTTTCGTAATTTAACGTAATTATTTATTTAGTAATTTATGTATTTATAAAATAATTAAATAAATAATATTTCAAATAAATA